TTTTAGCTACACACCACTTAATCAACAGACACACACACATTGATTTGCTTCATGTTTTGACTACTGCTATGACCAGCTGCAAAGCTGGTAACAGAGACGTCCCGGTTGACGTTTCTGTGTAGTATGGGGCTAGCCCAACCGAGGGGATATAATGTATAGGCCTGGTGGGTTCAGGGTCTTTCATCTTACATCTGCCTGCGTGCAGGTTGGAGGTGCAAGATGCCTGAGTGTGTAATGTTAATTTTTACCTGTGTTCATGGAATAAATCAGCACTGTTTTGTAGTTACTTGGACTGCCTCATCTCTGAGTCAGTATGGTAAAAAGTACTGAGTACAACATTATATTGTTACAAGCTGCACGCCTCAAGAGCAGCATTGTTCAGATTACAACACACAAACAAGTTGTGTCAGAATGTTATATATGTTCTGGCATAAGTTGTTTGTATTAACTATGAATTATGTTAATGTATCCAGCAGAAAGGAAAATCCACTCAGCAACATCCCCTAACAATTGCTCATTTAATTCTTTTGTACATGCCTTAAATTCAAAGTACTATATCAACAACTGTGAGTGGGGTGGTGTGGCTCCTGTGAGATAAGCTCTATTTCAGTGAAATAAATAAATAACTGCAGAAGTGTTTACAGCTATATGAAATCATATTTACCTGATACTCCTCCAGCCACATACACTGCCATCATCAGTCCTACAGAGAAGCCAATGTGGATGGTGAGCGGGTCACCGAGGGTGTTTCGACTGAGGGCGGTCTGAGCAACTGAACCACAACCGAATAACTGACAAACAGAGAGAGAGAGGACAACAGGTTTTTGCTCCATCAGAAGGAAGCTTTATGAACATCTCTGAAGATCTGGACCTCAGCAAAACAAAACAAAACAAAACAAAGCTGAGATATGTGCAGCATCTCAGACTTAATAAGCTCAACTATAAAATCAGTCATTAACCAAATTCTCCTCAGGAATAATCAATACAGTATTAACATATAAACACAGTGCATAAAGTGCACTATCTTCTAATGTCATACACACGTTTTTATCAAGGTAAGTTCTACTTACAACCAAGACAAATGTTCCCAGGAACTCTGCCAGGAATTCCTTGAGTATTCCATGTTTAAGAACACAACGCTGCCTCATGCTTCTTCTGTGTTGTAATTCCAAGTATCCCTTTGTCAAACACTGTTCAAACTGCCAGAAGACCAACCAACTCGAGTTGATCAAAGCATTCATATCAGATCTCCACCTCTACCCAACCACACCCATTCAGCACAGGCCATTGACCAGTATGTACAGCCATCACACTCCTCTCATCAGCCAAACTGTGACAGCAGAGGCCAGGCAGGGTGATTGACAGGCATGCTTTGTACTGTATTTCCTTTACATGTAAATCAGTTAATGATTTATTCATGTTTATAGCCACAGACAAACTCTTAGATTTACAGGAACATCATACAACTGGATTTATTTAAGGTGTAATACTTTCTGGAAGTACACTATATAGAGTATTTATTCATTAGTTTGCACCATATTAACTCACACAGCAATGGAATAACTTAGGAAACAAAAAATCTATTTGGGTAAATATGTCTATCATATTGTAAAACATCAGTTTGTTGTTCTTATACATAGTACCACAAGAGGTCAGCCTTGGCAAGCTGCCATGCTACTCACAGCTAGAAGCACTATGAACACACCCCTGAGTTGTTATAAGAGTTATGTTGAACTGTTAAATCAAGGATTCATCGCAGTCTTGGTAAAGTCCAGAAGTGACTTTTGGTCAGTTTTTATTACAGGCCACTCAGTCAGATCCAAAGTCGTCCACGTCGTTCACACTGTCGTCCACAACCTTAATGAGGGAAGGTGATTTCTTCTTGCGCCTGTTAAAGCAAAAAATAAACTTCTTGAGTTAAAGAACGCCATGACTTAATGAAATGACAGTCAGTGGCAGAACCTGAGTGGTAACCTCATCTCGTTCTGCAGCGTGCTCAGTTGGCCGTGAAGCTGCTCGTTGGCCTCGAGCTGGTCATCCAGTTCTCTCTGCAGCTTCTTCTTAGCATGTTCCAGGCGCTCGATCTCCTCCTCTGCCTGATCCATCTGCCTCTTCGCCATCTTCAGCCTCTGTGTCAGCTACAAAAGTGAGACATTGAATCATGAGTCAGCTCTGCTGCTCCTGAGTACTTGACAACTCATTTCTTTCTTTATAGTAAAAGACATCTACCTGGTCCGTCTGGGTTTGAAGGTTGATGTGCTCCTCATCCGCATGCATCTTCATCTCCTTCACCTTGCGCTCCAGTTTACGGTTTGCCTGTTGCAGGCTGTTGTTATCCCTGAGGGCAAAGGCACCAAGTAATCACATCACTGCTGCAGCTTCCTCTAAATGGACACCTTCCCAGTGTGCTTGGACCACAGGGAAAGTGATGAGTGGGTTCATTGCTCGACAGCTCCATCATGTATCTGATGGAACCATTATCCTAAAGGTTAGCCTGTGCTGGTACAGTATGTACAAACTCTGTATACATTTACAGCTACAGTATAACTAACATCTGTGAGCACATGCCTACCTTTCTTCACCTTGCAACCTCTCTTCCAGTTCCTGAATGCGGCTGTTAAGCTTGGTGAGGACTGAGTCCTGCTTGGTCTTCTGTGACCCTTCCAGATGAGACACTTTGCTCTTTAGGTCTTTATTCTGATAGAGGAAAAGAAAGAGAAGAATGTCACAAATGAGCCAGACTTCAATCTACCATGTCAACTTTTTGGTCACAGGCAGCACTATGGAGACATGAATATTTTTATGAGTGGCCCCCACTTTTGTTTGTTCTTGTGCAAGGACATGTATAACTTTATTTATATAGCACTTTTCAAAACAATGTTACAAAGTGCTGTACAGGGCTGAGGCAGAATTAAAAAAAATACAATGAGGCAAATAAAATTAGACAACTAAAATACTCACCCATAATTAAAATTAGGAAATGTATCTAAAAGTAACTTTGATTTTCTTTTCCATAAATGATTAACCTCCTAAAAATAACCAGTCTGACTCTGTTGATCTTCTGCTTTCATTATGAACCATCTGACACAATTCATAACACAAGGTCCACTTGCTGAAAATTGTCTAGAGGTTTCGGTCGAACCTCTTGGCCTTTATCAATGCATGCATTTACCTCAGTTTTCAAAGTGCCATCAAGGTTGAAGATTCAAATATGTGCAGTAAAATGTGATGGTAGCGTACTCTAGATGCTAAAGGCTAATGTGCAGTCATAATCATTAGAATCATGTATGCACTAGAAATATGAAATATAAAAGATAACATTAAAATATTACAAATATATGTAACATAAATATTGTCGGGCAGCACAGTGACGTGGTGGGTAGTGCTGTTGCTTCATAGCAAGAAGGTTCGGGGTTCAGCCCTGGCCGACCTGGTGCCTTTCTGTGTGGAGTTTGCATGTTCTTCCTGTGCCGGTGTGGGTTCTCTCTGGGTACTCTGGGTTCCTCTCATAGTCCAAAGACATGCAGCTTAGGTTGACTGGTAACTTTAAACTACCCATAGAAGTGAGGGAGTGTGTGTGTGGTTGTCTGTCTCTACATGTCAGCTCTGTGACTGACTGGCGACCTGTCCAGGGTGGACCCTGCCTCTCACCTAATGACAGCTGGGATTGGCCTCTTTAGGACAAACAGTATAGATAATGGATGTTTGCTGCCAAGTGTTGAAAGTGTGAGCAGTCAGGGGTCAGTACCTGTCTCTCCAGACTCATCTTGTCACACTCCAGGTCCTGCCTGACTGCTCTCTCATGCGTCAGCTCGTTCCTCATCTGATCCATCTGTCACACACAACCAGCACTGTTACAGTCATATGCAAATATTACAATGTAAGTCTTTATTAAGTTAACAAGGGTAGGTCATGTGGGCGCTGAACCACTCATTTCTAACCATGGAGCAAAATATGGGCTTGCACTTTGTATGTACCACCTCCCATATTGACAAAAAAGGTTTTTTTTTCAGGTTCCAGCTTAATTCCTAAAACCAGAGGAAATGCTATCTGGTCTGAGTGACTACGGTATATAAGATCTAAATCCTTTTTCCTCTCTAATAACATCCAGAGGCCCAGTGGAGGGAATGTGAATAGCTGCTGTTTTTTTGTCTTTGCCCTGCACCCAGCACAGTATTTTGTATCAATTAGTGTGCACCACTGTGCTCCCTCCCATGAACGGTGGCCAACTTTACAGGCACACTGAGGATGTGAGGCTCTTATGACATCATCTGAGATGAGGAAACATACATGAAGTCAGAGACATTCGGTCATATTTCAGGGCAATCAGCAACTCTGAGCACTCAGCCCTGCATCTGTTTATGATAAAAACAAATGCAGGGCTGGGTGTTCAAACTTAAGAAACTTGTGGGAAATAATGATCATTAGCAAATACAAAACAAGAGCTTTGTGTAGAGGGAGTGAACCTGCCTGCTCTTTGGTTTTGTCTAACCGTTCCATCAGGCGGTCAGCACTGCTGCGCTCATCATTAAGATCTTCTTCCAGTTGACTGATACGGCCCTGTGAGGATGTCAAACCATTATCAAGTTAATTTACATTACACTACCCAGCAATGTTTACCAGTACAGAAAACATGAAGAATCTATCCCCAGAGGCTCTGGTTAGAAACCAGGGCACAGGGTAATATAATGTATATGAGGAGGTGGGGGGGTGGGAGAGATGCACTCAGACAAAGATTAGAGCTTTTAAAAAGCCTGTAAAGGACTGTGTACGGTTTCTTTACTGATGTGAGTGTTTGGCTATGGAATGGGGGTAAAAAGTGAAAGAAGATTCCTGAGAACGCCCAGACAGTTCTGATAACTTTTTACAGTAAACATGCGCTGCCTTGGTCGATATGCAGTGTCAACACTGAGCACACTGGTGTCAGTGTTTTGTCATCAGCAGTGTTTTGTCATCAGTGCTGAGCTGTGAGATGTTGTTGCCATGGCTCCTTTCAGCACCTATACTGTAGCTCACAGGAACAAGTGAGTGCAAATAATGGCACCTGGAACATTTCAAAACATGGGAGAAAGGAAAAGTATGTTTGAATGCCTGTTTTGCTTCTCTGCAAATCAGCAGTGACAATAATCTTCACTGAAGCACATTGAAATCTGAAAAAGACAGTTTGATAACACTGAAGTCCCCCTGTTTGGCATTTAAAGGCAGTTTATTCGTTTTTCGCATTGAGGTATATTTTCGGCAATAATTTATTCATGTTCATGTTAATGCACCTGAGAATTCTTCTACATCTTCTGACAACTTCTTAATTCAGTAAGTTTCCCGAGTGTAAGTTGTTCACCTCCAAGATCTTGACTTGCCGCTCTCTCTCTTCCACCATGGCTGCATTCCTCTCCTCCAGCTCCTCCACCCTCTGCTCCAGCTGCCGGCCCCTCAGCTGGGCCTCCTGCTGCTCCCTGCGACATTGCCGCACATCCTCCTCCAGAGGAAGCAGCTGAACAGAGAACAGGATAAACATGAGATAAGGTAATATGCACCAGCTGGTGTTGGACAGTGGTGAATCAGTCAGACAGTGCTAGTAAAACCAGGAATTTATTGAGTTTGATAACACATCTGATTATTTCACCCATTTTGATCCCTTTGCACCTCCCTGCAAAATTCTGAAACAAGGGAACATAACTCCTTTTTACCATTCCATTATTTTGTTGACGACTAAGACAGTTAAACCCACATACTGTTGAATCAGAGAGACAGTGAGTACCACACCTCTTCCTGCAGTTTTTTGGCTGCCTGTCGGGATTTCTCCAGCTCTGCTCCCTTTTCCTGCAGCTGTCTCCGCAGCTCGGCCAACTCCCTCTGACTCCTCTCTCTGGCCTCATCAACCTGGTTCTGAAGTACATCTGTAGATGCCTCACACTCCTCCATGATGCTATTCATCTGGCCAGACAGATAAACAGTGAGATAAGTGGAACTATGCAAGCACAAGCTATTTCTGCTGTTCTTGTGTGGCTTCAGGGTTAATATGACAGATCTTTAAGTTGCATTTGGCTCCAAAAATGGTGAATGTTCTCAGTGGGCCTAATAAATTATCCAAGTCCACCTCTTACCTTCCTCTGCAGTTGCTCCACAGCCCTATCGTGCAGCCTCTTCATATCCTCCAGTTCAGTTTTTGTTTTCCACAGCTCCTCGACTTGTTTCTTCTCCTCTTTGAGCTTCTCTTTCAAGTCCCTGTGCTCATGATTGAGTTTGGTCAACTTACTCTGGAAAACAAATGCAAAGAAAAGGAAGAGCATTTTCAAACCTGTTTAAAAATCTTGTACCACTAGGCCAAATCCACATGCCCCAGCTGTTTCTCTAAAGCTTCACCTGCAGCTCCTCCAACCGAGTGAGCAGTGACTGGTTGGACTGACACATTTCCTCCTCGTTCCTCCTCACGTCCTTTAGCGTTTCTTCAACCTGCTGCTTTTCTCTCTGTGGAAAAACACAAAAAACAACGCACCAGACCACACCACTTAGAAAAATGTAGATAAAACACTTATATAAAAACTTGAATGAAATGAGTTACACCTTCTCCCCACCTCCAGCTGCTTTGCTCTCTGCTCCAGCTGTCTCTCTGTGGTTTTAGCTTCCTGGATTGACTGACCGAGCTGATCCACCTTGGTGCTGAGCTCCTGCACCTTTCCTCGCAGCTTATCTCTTTCCTGGCTCAGCTCCTTCAGCTGCACCTTAGCTGCAGCGCTCTCCTCCTCTGCCTCTACCTTCTTATAACCCAGCAAAGTGTTACTCTAAGAGACAGGATGGAGTAACACACAAAGAACATGAGAGGATAACCACATGTCATCTTGTGGAAAATAAAAAGAAATCTAAAGAAGTGATACCTCTTTAACCAGCTCTAAATCCCTGAGCAGTTTCCCAAGCTCCTGATCATAGTCATCCTTCAGAGCAGCCATATACTTATCATGGGACTCCACCTCCTCTTTGAGCGCCCCCTTCAGGGCATTAAGCTCCCTTTCCCGGTGGTGCAGCACTTCCTCCTGCTCCTCCTTCACCTTTAACATCTCCTGAAAATCTGTACGGAGCTGTGCCACGTCCTGACAGACATCCATCATAATACAACATCACTAACTCAAGTCAAGTGAAGAGGTTTTACAGCTGCTGTTGATTTGTGAAGGGGGTGTCTTCACCACCTGCTTTCATTTACCTTCAGAAGCACTTCTTTCTCTGAGTTTACCAGCTCTGCCTTCTTGGCTTGGTCCAGCTCATCGTGCATCTCAGAGAGCTGCTGCTGAAGATCTTTCATTTCGGTCCTAGATCTTTCTTTCTCTGCCTTCATCAGAGTCAGCCTGGTAACATGCAAAAAACAAAGCCTTGAATTTGACAGAAATGTCCATTTGGACTCGAGGATGAACTGATTCGATTTTGGTGGTCAAAGGTCAAGGTCAGTCAACTCATTTCTGTCCAATACCCATAAACTTGACTAGCTGGTGGAGACATACAACTGTGAAGCAGTATTCTAGCTTACTCTTTGTTTAGATAAAGAAGCAGCTCTACATTTTAAGGAATGCACCTATTTGCTTTATTTTAGAGTTAGAAGAGAACGCTGAAACTACTCTCATGGTTCTATGGTAAATATGAATCAACACAGAGTTAAATAAGACAACATTATGCAGAGTTTCTGGATGTAGGAGGTCAAATCCTTACTCCTGTTTGGTAGTCTGTAGCTCTGCCTCTATTTCAGCCAGTCTGTCCCTGAGTTTGGAAAGTTCAATCTGAGTTTTGGCCAACTCCTCCTCAAGTTTCTTCTTCTCTGTCCTGGCCTTCTCACAGGCTTTGGCTAGAGTCTTTTCATTCTGCACAATACAACAACAGAAAGAAACATCATCAGTCACAGGATCTAGGAGTGAGTGGTCGAGAGGTCAGTCAGCAGGATGGAACCTCACTACACCTTTATCTCATTCTCCAGTTGTTGCTGTAATTCAGACACTTCCTTTTCCAGCGCTGCCTGTTTCTCCTGCAAATGCTTCATCTCAGCTGCAAAGTCCTGCATATTTGAAAAAAGAAATGTCCAACAACATGGTATCATTAGGAGTTTCAGACAAAAACATTAGATTATGCAACTATCAGCACTGGTAAACATCTCATCCCAGTACTCACTTTCTCCTCCTCCTCCACATTCACAGCAGTTTTCCACTTGAGCTTGCTGATCTTTTCAAACAGCAAGTTAACTTTCCTCTGAGTGGTGGAGTCATCATCAGTCGTCCTGAGAAGCAAGAAAATATTTCACACTAAAGATGATTAAATTAAATGCAGTCGTGTCCCATCTAAACAAAGACATGGCAGTGTAGGCATCTGAGTGGTGTGAAATTGTTTTGCTTTTGAGGGGAAAATGTGTAAGGGCTTTCACTCAACATGCTTTGGGCACACTTTATTACAAAATAACAGCTCTATTTCATTGCATGTTTGGAAACAGACACTGATACCACCATGTGAATAAGTCATTTTAGCATGTGTTGCATTCCTTACTGCTGCGTGTTTGAGCACACACAGCTGGAACAGCTTATCTGGCTACACTACTCATTGGTGAAAAAACTTTTTAAAAAATCAATTGGACTTAGATTTCTAGTTCGAAGACATTTCACCTTTCATCCAAGAGGCTCCATTCATTCTATTCAGTTCTGTTCAGTTCTGTTCAGTTCATCAGAACTGATGAAGCCTCTTGGATGAGAGGTGAAACGTCTTCGACCTAGAAATCTAAGTCCAGTTGAAGTTTTCTAAGTTTTTTCAGTTTACTATGACCTGGATGACTGAGAATCTGCACAGACACTACACATTAGTGGAACTTCAGTTACTACTGCAAGTGCACACTCATTTATTAAGTTGTTTTAAAGGAATACTTCAATATTTTGTGAAATATACTTATTTTTCTTCTCATCAGAAACTAGAAATGAGAATCTCAAAACCACTCTCATGTATATACAGTATGCTAAGCATGAAAATAGAACTAGCAGCAAGTTAGCCTAGCCTAGTTAGCCTAGCCTAGCAGGGAGGAAAAGCAAGCATGGCTCTGACTAATACTAACAAAATATGCCTACTAGCACATAAACTGCATGAAAGTGCTATCAGATTTCTCATTTACTTCTCTGCAAGGAGGCAAAAAACCGTATATCCAAAAAGACTGAACTATTCCTTTAACCAAACCAGCTGAAATCTGCAGGGAACGTACCCATCTTTGAGGTATGTGAACACAATTTGTTTAGCTGTGTCCTCCATTGGATCCGCTGGCAGTTCTTGCTGTCCTTTCAGAAGATCAGGAGTGACCTGGTTAGAGAACATACGGCAAATAAATACAACCTCTGAAATGACAGCTGTGTTCTAAAACAAATCTCATTACCTGTGTATCTCTAGGATCAGATTCATCAGTCTGGTCACTACATGGTCTGGATATGGAGGTTTTCTCTGCTCTGTGAAGCAGTTTTGTAGCCTGTGAAGATAGCACCTCTTTTTCAGCTTTGACCAGCAGGGTGGTCTTGCTTTCATCTCTTTTGATTGCCAAAGTGGCCTCTCCGCTGAGGAGTCGAGCCCTGGCTGACCCGGGAGGATATATCCCACCTAAGGTCTCACCCCTGATGCCTCTCAGAGATGAGGCTTTGCTGGAGGAGGAGGATGAGGAGGAATCTGAGGTTCGACCACTGTCCACGCTGCGTGACCTTCGACACTGCTCTGGGTCCAGCCTGTTCCTTGGGCCACCCCTCCCCCTCCGCTGGCTGCTGTTGAACTGGCTTATTAGTCTCCCCACTGATAAGATGGATTCTGTATCCACTGAATTTGCGGACCTTGCAGAGACGTGCCCACCTGAGGGAGGCTCCTTGCTCTGGGTCACCTCACCTGGGCCTTCCTCTGGGCCCTCAGCTGGCAGAGGGATTCTGGATTTGGTCAAATTAGTGGTGTGGGTTGTCTCAGGAATAAGGTTGGGGTGCAACTGTCCAGGTCGTACAACTGAGGATGTTTGTGAAGGAAAGACCTGGTTCAGATTATTACTTTTAGGGTCATAAGGTCTCAGAATCTCTGGGTGTTTCTGATAATGAAACGTGGAGGAGTCTGCAGCCCTCTGCGTCTCAGTTGGAGAATGTCTTTCTTCCACAGACCTTCTCACTGTACCTGGGTTGTACCCTGTCTGGTGAGTGATAACAGCGATGTCCCTGTGGCTCTCCTGGCCAGAACTGTTCAGGACCACGTAAGGATGACCTTTAATCCCTTGAACTTTAACCATCACTCCAAACAAGTTGTCCTGGTTGCCTCCAGGACTGTGCTGCTGCATCCTTATGTCTGGAGAGTTGCTCAGTCTGTGAGACTCCATCGTGACTGCACTGAAAATAGACAAGTTCGTTAAAAATGGCAGAGACTCATCCTGTGCTATCCATTTAAAACTGATGCATAAGGCTATCCAAGCTGAGGTTGGTGTTTACAAAACACTGGAGCAGGGTTGGCGCCTCAGTAGGACAAACTGATAGACATGCAGGCAGCTCCTCATACAGCTGCACTCAGCCATCATGAAGACACAATAAATAGTCACTGACAAGAGCCTGATAGTGCTGTGCAATGAAAACAGCTCCTTTTGTGTGCTAATGACAGTACACTATTGTGCAGCCAAAGCTGGGACAACTCCACGATGACTACAACTGGCTGAGGTCTCTGAGGTGTCGTCACCCACCTCATGGTTTAGCACTTGAGTATAATGTTTGTCAACAAATATGCTACTGTGAGACTGAAACACAAGAACACTATAGGTGTTGTGCTGCAGACAAAACAGGGCATCTTCTTAAGAGCACCATCATGAGCATGACTGCTTTACACACCAGTCATTAATACGGCCCAGGAGATCGTTGGCTGCCCTCTCCTCACTCTGGAAGAACTACACAGTTCCCACTGCCTCAAAAAAGCCCAGAACATCATTAAGGACACTTCACACCCAGGACGTTCACTCTTTGAACTGCTGCCATCAGGTAGACAGTTCAGAGCAATCAAATCAAGGACCACTAGATTCAGGAATAGTTTTTACCCAACAGCAGTTACCACACTCAGTGCTGCTAAAATATAACATGCCTGTGTGTGTGTGAGGGGGAGGGTGTGAGAGGTCTGTTGTTTATCTAATTTTTCTAGCAGTTCGAGAAGTTTTTTATATGGTCTTATTTCATATGTTATGTTTCTATTGCTGAGGTTACTGTAAAATTTTGTTGTGCATGTTACAATGACAATAAAGGATTATCTTATCTTATCTCTTACCAGTAGTAGCACTACAGACTGCAGCTCGTTTAGTATGAGCAGTTAAAAGTGTTATAATTGTAGAAATTCACTTTAAGAAAGACACTCGCTGAGCTAGCGCTTCAGATCATCATGACATCTGCTGAAATTGACCATTTTAGGGCATTTTATGCTTTTATTAGAGAGTTGACTTGAACTCTGTGGAGATGATATGCATCAGTGTCCCCAGACTCAAACCTGGCACGATGGGATTTCACAACCAGCATCTTATACCCTAAGGCCACTAGGGCGACCTCAATTACATGCAGTTTTTGAGGTTGTAATTTGTAATGTTCAACAGCAACACCATAGAGCAGTCAGGCTACCTAAGAATAAGAAGAATCTCTGGGTTGCCAGGTGGTGGAAAATCCTCCTCCAGCATAACACTTTTTTTTTTGTCTATTTAGCAAACTCTAAAATTCATCAGAAAGTCCACTCAGCCTATTTGACCACACAAATCTATTTATTAACAACTTTAACTTATTAGCACTGGCTACTTATCAAAAGGTAACCAGTCTGACAGCTCACTTAATGGGCCTTTTTTAATGATATAAGTGTCATGCAAAAGAAGATTTTTATACAACCTGATGACTCAAATGATGTTCCTACTAATAATTGTTCCCTGAAACCCCAAATGATTCAATAACCATTATTTGTGCTATAAACAATAGGCCTACAGCTTATAAACCGAGCAGCAATAAGTATGGTTTATTAGAAAGAGGCAGAAAAAGTCTAAAGAAATTGTTCCTGCAACTGGTCAGTAGGCTATAGGATACTTCCAGGTAGGCTAGCTGTCCGAACTGCAGTTATCCAGTTAACTTGATGAATTTCACTGTTAACTTTAGGCAGTGATGTAAAGTAACTAAGTATATTTACTCAAATACTGTACTTAAGCACAATTGTGAGGTTTCTGTACTTTGCTTGACTATTTTCATTTTGTTGCTATTACATGCTTCGACTTCACTAAATATTGTACTCCATTTATTTGATAAATTTAGTTACTAGTTACTTTTCATAATCATATTAATAATAAAACATAAACTATAATCATAAGTTGTTACTGATTACAGGTGGAAAATTGACAAGCTATATCCAGCAATATGTAAAGTCATTCAAAATATAAGCATATAAAGTAGTTACATCAGCTCCACCTTCACCAGCTGCAACATGATGTGCACAATAACGCATCAATAACTATAATCCAATATTATGATATACATTCATGTGTAATGTACTATTCTACATAATGAATAATACTTTTACTTTAGGAACTTTATACATATATTTTCATATTAATACTTTTGTACTTTCACTTAAGTCACATTTTTATGCAGGACTTTTACTTGTAAAGAGTTTTTTTACACTGTGGTACTGCTACTTTTACTTAAGTAAAGAATCTGAGTATTTCTTTCATCACTGAGTTTGAGTTAGTGGACAGTTATGGAGAATATCCTATACAAGTAGGGTACATCAAATTAAACACTACAGTCCCGTTGAATGAGGCTATTATGGCATAAGAGATAAAGTAAAGGTGAAAAAAGAAAGTTAAGATATTTAAACCCACTCAGCACTAAGCAGGCTACGTACAATACTCTACAAACATGTTTCTACAGAATCAATAACATGTTTCTTATGTTAACGAAACGTGTTATAAAGAAATCGATCTGAAACTTACCCGCTGCGTGTCCGGTCTGAAGCCGAGTCCTCCTCCTCCTCTGTACGCTCAGACTGTCCTGCCTTCGCCCGGACACGACCACGCGGTCCCGCTCTGAGAGGCGTTCACGGTCCGCTCTGTGTCAGGAACTAGCGAACCGCTGCTGAGTCCTTAACTAGAGGTAATAGCCTGTATGAACTTTGTTGGAACCTATAAACGATGAGAATAATAAGACAGGGCCATCTAAAGCACTGTAACACTGTTTATAACACACTAGTCCTGAACTGTGTGGGACATTAGACCAGTATAAGTCTTGTCTTGTTTTTAAAAAATGATGTAATAGGTTCCCATATATAGGTTCTGAATTTGTGTAATATTTTGAGGCATGTTATGACATATAGAGACCTTTAAGCAGACAGGAAATGAGGGAAGCACCCAGGGGTGTTGCTAGACATAAAGCTGAGGTGTTCCTAATAATCTGACCCTCTCATGTATGTACATGAGAGGGTCAGATTATTAGGAACACCTCTAAATATAATATAGTCCAGTACAACACCACCTTTAACTATGACCTCAATAATAAGCGCATAATTGAATTTATACATTTATGACAATTTCACCAAAAACTTAAACATTTTGACCTTCATAAACACTGATGTTAACACTTTGTTGTTCATAAGATGAAATGCAACCTGACTAGACCTCCAGTCAGGTGGAAGCTGGGTGAAGATCTGCTGGTAATTAACTGTAGAGCTGAAGCAACTATTTGATAGCTACACGTTCACTAATAATAATAATAATAATAATACAATAAATACTGCACATGCACATTTGTGTCATTCCGGTCACAGCCGGGTAAGCGGCAGCTCCTTCATGAGTCAGGCTTGCATTAGCGAGTCACTGAGATGTATTTCTGTACCCAATAGTTTGACCAATAAAGGTATTGTTCTCCGTTTTCTTTTAAAATGGTTACTGCAAATCCAACTTTATGTATTACTGCGACGACTTTACCGGATGATGTTACATTTAAGTTAACGCAACTTGAGTTATACAGTATATTGAATGTTTTGTTCTTCTCATAAAAGTTAGCCTGCTGGATTTTTGAAGGGAGTTTAAAACATCTAATGCTGGAATTAGGTGTGTGTGTGTGTGTGTGTGTGTGTGTGGAGTAACCGTTGCAACATATTACAACTGTTTGAAAAAAGACATTTATTGCTACATTATCATTGCTGACACATGCCCGTGGACTAGTTCCGATTGTACATATACTGTACTGTACAACTGTATATTATGTAAAGATTATTTCAGATTTTTTTTTTTATCAGCTTAGCAGTGTGATAAGCAAAGAAGACATTAGCTATACTGTAATACTGTATTGCCCAGACCATGAAATGTGGCTACATCTAGCAAAACTGCACAAAAACTGTTTTGTGTAAAATGAGAATTACAAAAACAAACAGAGACACTATTAACATCACAATATTTGTATAAAATATAAGTTACATAATTTAGAAAAACAATGAAACATTCTATTTAAAAACTCAGACATGCAAAGAGCTTTGACTACACCGGAAGAGCATTAATTACACTGAAAAGAAGAGGGGATCTGCCCACCAGTGTTTCACTGAAGTGTCAGCTTGTTAACAGTGCTATGACACACATATACAAATAACAGAGGAGGTTAAAGAACATTCTAGGAGATCTGTTCATTCACAGAATGGTCAAACTCCTACAATACTTTCTCTCTCTTTCTCACACACACACACACACACACATCACAAGACAAATGAAATCGCTGTCTGAGCACACAATTGTGGGAATGTCAGTTCTCTGGGCTCGGTGGAAATCTAGAGTGTACATAGTGAGTAGTGATACACTGTAAAAGTCAGTCAGAAATAGATCTGGCTCTGCCACAAACAAGCTGCAGATGAAACATCGTCATTACCGGCTTTCATCCATTCAGATATATTCAAACAGAAAGACAATCGACAAATATACAAAATACTGTATGTACAAAACATCTGCAGCATACAATGCATTTGTCTGTTTAGGCACAAAGTTAGAAGTCCGTTTGGGAAGTGAGGAGATGATTGTTCAACTGCATCACACTTTACAATCAGAGAGGTCGACCTCTCCACTCTGGTCCAAATTCAGAAGAAATCATAGGCGCCCAAACACATCTGGATGTTCCTGGGATGCTCTTCACTCAGCATCTGGACATCAAAACACAGCCATATAAAAAATAAAATAAGATGTTTTCTATGACTACTGAAAATCATATAAGATGTATTGTATATCTCATTTTGGAAACATTTTACTCATATCAAACTGTCTAATGTAAATACTTGATGCTGGGCCTGATGTAGTTATTATCAGATGCTCAGAGGTGGCTCAAAGAGTTTGCTGAATCTGTCAGACTGGGATGAAAAGCGAGATGCATGGACTGTGGATCAGTCATGACTGCAGATGCCTTTTCTTCCTCTCTCCTACGCAAACATGCCGCCTTTGGGTTCAGGTTCCTCTCTGTGGGATTCAACAGGCAACAGGTTAGAATTTAACTTAATAAAGAAATGTTCAAATCCTGTTCAAAGAAGCTTGAATGCTGCACTAATCTATCTTTTTATACTAACAGTGATTCAGATGACTATGTGTAATGTGAAAGCAGCGATGCACTGACCTCTGACTTGTTGTTCCAGGCTGAGGATCACTGCCACGGCCTGGTGCAACACCAGCAGCTTGGTCTGCGGCTTCTCACTCTTCAGGTGCAGCTGGCACATGTGACCCAGCTCCTTGAAGGCCTCGTTGATGTCCCGTACACGCAGACGTTCACGGGCGTTGTTAGCCATCCTCCTCTCACGCTCGCGTTCAGCCTTCTGCTCCGGGCTCAACTCCTCATCCTCATGGATACTACAACAACAGCAAGGGAAATACAAATGGTGTTGTCTTTTAAAGTTATGTTAAAATGAATATTCAAGCTTAAGTGACCCCAACTGAAACTGTGCTGGTGACTTATACTGTGGATTTCTCTGCCCTCTGCTGGTCACTGAGCTGATATCATGTTACTGAATCTCCTGAGGTCATTTGATATACTCTCATTTACTCTGTGAAAATGGTTTACATAGGACACTGACAGCAGTCACACATTTATAAATTAATATTTCATACTGGAGAGCATTTATGTTTGTAACCAGTTTTTTAGAAAATCAGTGTCAGTGTCATGGAGAAGCAGTGGTTAGTGCTGTTGCCTCACAGCAAGAAGGTTCTATGTTTGAGGCCCGGTGCCTTTCTGTGCGGAGTTTGCATGTTCCCCTGTGCCTGCAAGGGTTCTCTCCGGGTACTCCGGCTTCCTCCCACAGTCAAAAGACATGCAGCTTAGGTTGACTGGTGACTTTAAATTGTCTATAGAAGTGAGTGAGTGTGTGTGTGTGGGGTTGTCTGTCTCTCTGTGTCAGACCTGTGATAGACTGATGACCTGTCCAGGATGTACCCCGCCTCCTGCCCAGTGTCAGCTGGGACTGGCTCCAGTACCCCCGCCCCTGCGACCATCTTCAGGATGAGCGGTATAGGCAATGGATGCATGGATGTCCATTCTTAGTCAAGAGGTGCTTTTTGTGTTTACAACTGTTTTATTTCCTATTATTTTATCATTGGGTCTAAATAAAAGCTCAAAACTATGTCCAACAGAAAAAGAATCAGAATCAGGAATTTGACTCTGGTACAGTGGATCTCTATGTGCTTTGTCAGGCAACAAGAAAATACATGTTTAAATAAGAAAAAGTTTTTTAAAAAGTCCCCAAAACAATCTATTCATAAATGCATATTGCATATATTTATACAATATACATATATACACATTGCGGTATTGTAAAAAAAACAGAAAAAGTTTTGCCCCCATTTGTGTTTACATTGATGTGGTTTCCATGTACAGTGCTGTATGTTGTTGTAGCAGCTGTTCTTATTCTTCTGTTTTCCTCTTTTAATTCAGTGTGACTTAATGCAACATGAAGAAGAACTATGAGGCAGAGCCAAACAAGCTGGCCTGGGCACAGCTGTCCTTCACAGCAGGACAGTATTTTACATTAGTGAAAGTAAATGGAAAGAAAGCACTAATCCTGGCCTTTGAGTGAGACACTTTATTTTAGAAATCTGTTTTGAAATCAGCACAATAAATCTGGGGCAGTTTTTCTATTTCAGCAGCTGGTTTTAAACACCAGATTATTCTGTCTGAACTGGTGAGCAAAGTAAGAAAGTGTGTGTGTTTACCTGTCCTGTGTGCTGTTTTCTCCTTGTGTTTTGTGTTCACTCTCCTCATCTGATCTCTGACTGTCAGAGCTGTGACTGTGATTGGTGTGCATCATTTCTTCCCTTTCCCCACTCTCCATCTTCAGCTCCAGATTACCCTGAACACCCAGGCCTCCTGTGGGAGATTTACAAATTGTAGAAATTACACACTGAGACACTGCTGAAGTCTAAAAGGTTCATACAGACACAGTGTGTGAGATACATGAATGCTACATTGGATAGAAGGGAGGAATAACTAGCATTTACCTCCACTTTGCATTGGCTGAAGTGTGGGCCTCTGTCTGACTGGGTACGGGTGGCCATTTTGTGTGTGGCTCTGGAAGGCTGAATGGTTGTTGTTCATACTGACAGCTTCAACCTTTATGACACACAAAGTGCAGGATGAGATAAGGGCAATATTGATGTGTTCACAGGTCATTGGCTGAAAATTCAGAATGTTAGCATCCTATAAATGTTGAGTGTGAACGATACTGCACCTCCTTAAATGTTTCTAAGGAGGCAAATCTGGCTCAGTCAGCATACAATTTAATCCAGTATAGACCTCTTAGATCCAACCAGTGGCAAATCATAAAGCCAACATCTGCCCGCTCAGTTTCTGATGAAATCATAAAACCAACATCTGCCCGCTCAGTTTCTGATGTAACTGAGAGTATATCTCTCACTCTACAGAATTAATTTAGTCAGACTTTCTAAATCCTTCACATAAAAATACTATACACTCACTAAACATTGCCCTAATTCTTTTCAGGAATAATTTACTCCTAGCCAAGACATCATTTGGAAAAAGTGAGAGAATTTAATACCCCTCAATCAAAGGATTAGAGTAAAAACCCCTTTCTCCTCCATATACTTCCACTCCAGCTGGGCTAAAATCCCCTCAGCAGGCTGAAAGGGAAGCATGCTGGAACGGGAGTGTACAATGCCGGCGTTCCCTATAACCCCAGAATGGAATTACAGTTGGCACATACTGTACACTCTCCATACAAGTGATCTCCCATTGTGCTCAGTTTCCTATTTCAAAGAAAACAACCTTTACATGAGGAAAACATGCAGGCATAGTAGGTGGAAAATTCCTTAGCCTGAATACCAGCACACACACAACATGGAATTTCCACACACGCTTTCCTTAAGTACTTCATAATGGTTGTTAACCATGGCTGGAGTGTGACAGGAGACTGGCAGAGTGCTGGCAGAGCCCACGTGGCTGTGGTGGGCCTGGTTCATCAGGCCTTGGATGTCAGTGGGCAGACCCTCCGTGGGACCAACAGCGTGGTTCCTCAGGACATGGATCACATCGTCAAGTCTGTCTAGGCGGTCCTCCACCTGAGACTGCAAATGCCAAGAGACACAAAATTAAAATTGTACTTTTTTGTGGCATTTGGCACAAATGTTAAACAAAGTGAATTGTTTCAAAACTAAAAGCCAGCATCTTTGTGCACAGTTTTGTATAATATAGTATGTATAGTAAGTCTAAAGTCAGATTTTACTTTGACTTAAGCAATAAAACTATAGTTGGACAACAGGGAATTATGTTTATTCATTTTCTTGCCAAGAGTTACATAAGAATAATGATACCACTCTCATGCCTGAGTGTTAAAAGTGATGCTGCAGCAAACAGCTGGTTAGCTTAGCATGAGGACTGGAAATAGCTAGGCTGTATATTTATATCCTTCTACCCTTTATCCCTATATGAATAAGTTATTTAAACATAAGTAACGTGAAATTAAATTAGATTTTTACCATTGATATAAGTGAGGACTCATAATGTGGTGAGACTGGTGCCTGAACTGAACTCCGAGGCCACATGTTTGTGCCTTGGAGGAAGAAGACAACCAACACAGAACATTAAGGGTTTGAAATATACCAATAAATAAATATTTCTCTTTGAGCTGCATCGACAAGTGAATAGTCCAGTTTACCTGCAGGGTCAGGTGCATTGGGCAGTGGAGATGGAGACCTCACCGGTGTAGATGTGCTGGAAGGGAAGCTACTGCTGGTGTGATCTGGGGAATAAATCTGGCAGCAGACATGGAGAGAAAGGGAGAAAGAAGGAGGGAGTGAAGGAGGGGGAGGACCAGGGGACCAGGGCATGGATCATTTTAAAAGCGCAACTTGTCATTTCTGCGTAAGGGTTTACAGCTGCTGCCACAGCCTTTGGAGCAAACTCGTAACCTGAACTAAACTCATCAATTCTGGTCATTTTACTAGTCAAGAACCAATAAAAAGTCCAGCAGTATGACCGTAGCTCTCTGCTGATATCTACTAGCCTGTTTCTGGCAGCGAGGAACAACTATTTCCCTTTTGCATTATACCATTATACCCCCCAGGGCTTGGTTTAATGCTGTGGTCTGACTGTTTGAACATAACAGGGCTCAGTTAAACCTGTCTAATGGGATTTAGGTGGTGTATACTTACAGATGCCAGAGCTTTGCCCAAGGTATCACCTGTCTGTGAACCTCCTGATACATTTCCCTGGCTCCCTGAGACTGAAAAATAATAACATCAAAACATGTGAATGAAGGAAAGTTAGGCCTGAGTTTAACAAGCAGTGAAGAATTTTCTCCTTCTCTTCACCTGTTGAATTTTCTGAGGCGTTGACTGACAGAGTGCGTGATGCCGTATTGTTGCAGTGGAAAGTGGACATGGGTGGGAGACCCCTGTTCATATCAGCGGCCATCATTGAATGTGGAGAGTAGTCCTGAACAGTAAGCAAACACACAGTTAAATCCACTGGGGTGACAGAGTGCAGTGCTGTTAGCATCCTAGTCCGTGCAGGTAAGCCTCACCAGGTGACTGTGTGGTGGCTGCAGGTCGCTGTAGCTCCCCTGCTGTGTGTGGCGGGCTGTGGCCGTTCCCACTGCACCTTCATAGCCCTGTGGGTTCAGCCCATTTACAGCATTCCAGATGTCAGGCAAATTGCTCATCCCTTCTAAAATGGATAACAATATGTCATAGTCTGTATGGGAAAACCATATAGAATACAAGGCTTGAATGCATAGAAAGCAAGATGTCCTCGCAGCTGGTGATAGATATTCATGTTCTTTTTAGATTATTTGAGCTCACCAAAGAATGTGCTTGTGAACACATTGTTGGGGGCCTTGTTGGATGGATGTGAAGATGTGTTCTGGCTGATGTCATCATTTGTGGGAGACTGCCCATATACCTAAAATGAAAAACTTGGCATTGTCAGAAAGCAACTTTGAACCATGAGATAACCTATATCCACAAACTTTCTATGTGGCAGCATCACCTTAACCAGTTTTACTGACACAAGTACTGTGAATGTGGGCGGAAGCAACAGTATTATGAAAACAAAGCAGAGAGATGATGAACACTTAGCGCTATTTCTATAATCCATAAGCTGCAGATCCATGCACCTCCTCATCCGGATTTAGGAGCCATTCACCATGAGAAATCCCTGCCCTAATCATGATCAGGTTCGACTGGCTTCAGAAGACAGATAACTCCCTCCCTGAATTACAGGCCTTGTCATATTTTGTCCTCAGAGAGAAACCAAACAGAGAAGTGGCTCTCACCCTAATCGTCCTCTCCTGCATGAAAAATCAGAATGTAAATAGCAAACAGATCTTACCTTTAACCTGCTTTTTTGTTTTTGTTTTTTTACTTAAATTAAAATTGCGGGACTACAAACTGCACATATGCACATAAAACACACCAACACATGCTCACTCACTCAAACCCACCAAGAGGTCTGGGCTGCACCTGCACCTCCCTCCATTGCTTTGATGTGCCCCAGGAAATGAAAATAAACCTCCCTGTGCAACATCAATGGGGTGTCAGTTACCCGGACAACAAGTTCTGTAAAGCAGGCTATTAAAGACTCTCTTGAGTATGCTCGTGTAAGCACACTCACAGGCACACACACAAAGACACACACTTAAGCATACGCACACATGCAGCCATGACCCTGGCTGGCATGAGTCCCATGGTGATTGTGAGCTAGGCCAAACAGAGGAGCCCCTGCCGACACTGGGCCTGTCTGAGCCGCCATGGGCAGCATATGGCGCAGGATAAAGCCAATTGTCCTCCTTACCATCAGCATAGCAGGCGACCCGTTAATAATGGTCACACCCCCGCTCCAGCACGCCCTCTCTGGCCCCCGGTGGAGAGGGGCCATCACCATGGCATCCACTTTCAGCATAGCATTGATTTAGGAGCCATCAGTCATGGTATCACAAATGATAAGGGACTTTTTTCAGCAAATAAAGACCACACTTAAAACTAGGGAAGGAATTAGAATTCTATAAAACTTCATATCTGCTTGAAATAATGTTTTAGAATATGTGTCCTGTGTAGCATTCAGCTTCCAGCTGAATTTCCTGATGATCTAAAACACATAAACTAGTCAACAGCTGCACTATTTTTTCTGCTGTAAATGTACAGAGCATTATGATGCTAGATGAGTAAAATATCAACTTGCTATTCAGGGTCTATGTTGTGTTCCACTGTAGCCAGCCAACTCCTGCCACAAGCCACATGCAACCAATTTTCTGCCTCTGTGATCCACGATGCCTGGATATGGTTAGTCTCACAGAGATCAAAGCAGCCTTTGATAATGGCTGCAATGGTGGAGGGACTGCTCCAACACAGCAGGGTTAAATCAAATAGAAATAGCAGCAATCTGCTTCATGTCAAGATGCTTTTTGCTGCAAGGCTTGACTACAGGGTGCTCACCTAACAGGAAGCATGAGTCTCACTGGTGCATTTTAACATGGGTCTGCCAACATAAAGCCACAAGTGACTAAGGGCTAGAATGAATGATAGCATTACTGTAGGTCTTGTGCATGGGAAATACTTATGAATGGGTTGATTTGTGAATTATTATGATTCATAATGTTAGAGAATTCCATTTATGTAAACTCTACAAAAAACACTGACTAAAATGCACTTCATAGGTAAGGGAAAAAACAACCACACAGTAACATTTTAACCCTACAATAGTTACACAAAGTCTTGCAGTTTGTGGAGCTTCTCAATCACCCAGACAGCTGCAAGAAAAACTTGCAGTTTTTGCATTAACTAAGTTCCAACTATGTTGGAACCACACAACTCATCCAGGCAGTGACATGGACTTATTCAATACAAACTATAGACATCACACCTTTAAAACAAGCCACTCTTTCTGCCTCTCTTTGTCGTTGTGAACACACACATGCAGACCAGCCAGATGAAACTACCATGTATCCCAACATGTTCTCTGCAGAGTAGAAAAGATTTCCCACTAACCCAAAACTAAAACTGTGTCCAAATGAGAACATATTTAACTATCAGCTTCTATCTGTTATATAGGCCACATACATACATTGCCATAAATGTGCAATTCTTAATGATGCAGATCTATTAGAGAAAACACTGTCCAAGCACTGTGAACAAATTAAGCTGGAAACTGGTGAATCATTGGAAACAACAAATAAACATGATGTCTGAGAGCTCAATTTATGAGTGCAACAGCATCATCACCAAACACACTGACAGTGTCAAGCAACCTCTGGGAAACAAAATATGGATATACATATGAAAGGTACTCACTGGTTTCATGTTGTAGCAATACATCAATGAGTTGCTGCCTGTGCTGGAGACAGGATGAGCACAGTACATAACTCTGTCTGGTTCAGTGCAAGACTCCAGGCTCACAGTACAGTCCACACACTGCTCTTCTCTTCGAGTCTTTACTCATGTGTACACAGTCCACATGCACTCCTTCTCCTAACCTACCCCTGCTGGTCATGCAGCTACCCGCAGACAACTTATGCAAATCTGGGCTGGACCATTCAAGGCACAGAAAGGGGTGGCCAAGGGTTGATGCTATTACTGTAGTACAAGCCTGGTCCAGTATAGTGTCAGCATCTATTTTATTTAATTGGATGAAAATTCAGATCAGAAATTTAGGTAGGTTTTAGCATTTGGTGTTTAATGTGCATTTAAGAAATCTGTTCATGCAAAATATCATGAACATATATTAAACTTGTAATTATCAGGGAATTCCCCACCCATGCATGATCAAACACCTTGACCACATCAGAACCAAAAACAGCCATCATCACTGTGGGTTATAAATCTTGCCATCAAAGAAGATGTCATCATGACACCTTATGCTATGTGTAAAATTACAAACAGGTTCAGAAAGCCTCCTCAGGATCAACGAGCTGTGATGACGCCATGAAGATTATCCCCTGTTAAACAGGTAGAGGTTTCCAGCAAACACCCCTGTCTGACCTACATTTACAAATAGAACCAAGTCTCAGTTCATAGGCACGTGTGGCATGTAAAGGTCCTCTAATGGCTGGGTTAAAGGTTATTTGTACATCTGGGTGATCTGCTAATGAACAATTGTCAGACATCCTGTTTGAGGAAACCCACTGATTGCTGGTCTGGTGCTGAAAATCACTGTGACCTACTGTATGTGTACAAGCCAGAGGGTAAAATTTTTTACATTAAAACACTTAAACAACCAGAATAGAGGGTATTTAACCATGACAAGAAGGTGATGTGCTGAATATGTGTTCTATTGTCTGAATTTTACATGAGTGGGAAATAAACATTACACTTGCTGTGATTCTCAGATCTGCAGTGTAGCACAGTGTCCTGGGAAAGTATTTTGTCCTAGAGAGATCTCACAATCAAATAAATCCCACTGAGACAACAGGAACATATTCATATATACAGTGGGTACAGAAAGTATGCACTGAGACAACAGTGGAAAGTATTCAGACCTTTTCACTCTGTTATATTGCAGCCATATGCTAAAATCATTTAAGTTCATTTTTTTCCTCATTAATGTACACACAGCACCCCATATTGACAGAAAAACTCAGAATTTGACATTTTTGCAGATTTATTAAAAAAGAAAAACTGAAATATCACATGGTCATAAGTATTCAGCCCCTTTGCTCAGTATTTAGTAGAAGCCCCCTTTTGAGCTAATACAGCCATGAGTCTTTTTGGGAATGATGCAACAAGTTTTTCACACCTGCATTTGGGGATCCTCTGCCATTCCTCCTTGCAGATCCTCTCCAGGTCTGTCAGGTTGGATGGTAAACGTGGGTGGACAGCCATTTTCAGGTCTCTCCAGAGATGCTCAATCGGGTTTAAGTCAAGGCTCTGGCTGGGCCATTCAAGAACAGTCACGGAGTTGTTGTGAAGCCACTCCTCCGTTATTTTAGCTGTGTGCTTAGGGTCATTGTCTTGTTGGAAGGTGAACCTTCGGCCCAGTTTGAGGTCCTGAGCACTCTGGAGAAGGTTTTCGTCCAGGATATCCCTGTACTTGGCCACATTCATCCTTCCCTCGATTGCAACCAGTCGCCCTGTCCCTGCAGCTGAAAAACACCCCCATAGCATGATGCTGCCACCACCATGCTTCACTGTTGGGACTGTATTGGACAGGTGATGAGCAGTGCCTGGTTTTCTCCACACATACTGCTTAGAATTAAGGCCAAAAAGTTCTATCTTGGTCTCATCAGACCAGAGAATCTTATTTCTCACCATCTTAGAGTCCTTCAGGTGTTTTTTAGCAAACTCCATGCAGACTTTCATGTGTCTTGCACTGAGGAGAGGCTTCCGTCAGGCCACTCTGCCATAAAGCCCCGACTGGTGGAGGGCTGCAGTGATGGTTGACTTTCTACAACTTTCTCCCATCTCCCGACTGCATCTCTGGAGCTCAGCCACAGTCATCTTTGGGTTCTTCTGTACCTCTCTCACCAAGGCTCTTCTCCCCCGATAGCTCAGTTTGGCCGGACGGCCAGCTCTAGGAAGGGTTCTGGTCGTCCCAAACGTCTTCCATTTAAGGATTATGGAGGCCACTGTGCTCTTAGGAACCTTAAGTGCGGCAGAAATGTTTTTTTACCTTGGCCAGATCTGTGCCTTGCCACAATTCTGTCTCTGAGCTCTTCAGGCAGTTCCTTTGACCTCATGATTCTCATTTGCTCTGACATGCACTGTGAGCTGTAGGGTCTTATATAGACAGGTGTGTGGCTTTCCTAATCACGTCCAATCAGTATAATCAAACACAGCTGGACTCAAATGAAGGTGTAGAACCATCTCAGGGATGATCAGAAGAAATGGACAGCACCTAAGTTAAATATATGAGTGTCACAGCAAAGGGTCTGAATACTTTCCATACCCACTGTATATACATACTGTATATTTATTGTCTTACTAACTCTCCAATGTTTACACTGAAGATGCATGGTTTTTCTTTCCATAACATTTATTTCTATTTAAATTGGTAACTAAATGCATACTGTGGCTTCCCAGTGCATGGCCTTTAATGTACAGTTAGTGTAAAACAGTCATGTATTTGGCTCTCAGGGTAAGCAGTGCAGTTTGTGCAGCTTCCTTAAAGTTACTGTTTAATCCTGACTATCCATACTGGTGTTAACTGGGTTAGGAGGTCAACCCATTCATCTTCAACAAAACAATTATTTGTGGACCTACAGCAACATTTGTTTTCATTACATTAAGATACAAATTATAATAAATAAATAGCAAAAATCCAGAAATACTGAATGACCTTTTCCTCTGACAGAAATCAGTTCTCCTGTCTGACACATTAAGTGTGCATAACACAAATACACTTATCTTGAGTAAATGATCCAAGAGCAAGTATATACAGTCCCCTAACCCTGAACTTTGCATCAATCTTAGTTAATTGCTGTCTTGTCAGGAGTGCGATTATTCAAACAGGTAATGCAAATGTTAATGAGTTCAAATTTGCATATCTTTATTTTCTCATGGTTGAAATGTCATTGGTTATGACACTTTATAATGAAGAATGCCACTCCTGATGGCCCCCTGATACGCTGCTGGCCATTAAGAGGCCAAAAAAGAACAATTTGAAGGGGACGTATGGAAATAAATAAGGAGCTGTGCTCAAAATAAAATGAAGACCTTTAATATGAAAACAGATAAAAACACATTCACACCATTATTACAGCCCTCAGTCATCAAATTCAGTTTCTGCAGAATGTACTACTAGAGGAGCAGAGAATCTTATTATATTCTGCAAAGGAAAAACATGTATATTTATGTGACCAATCAATAAGAACAAAGAGAAAACTAGTCATGGTTGTCCTTTTACTGTATGATATGCTGTAGTGCATACTATTCCTAAAACACACATTTCAAGGGCTGTTGGCATATTCCTAATCATCATGTGCCTGATTTGACATGGCTTAAATAACTATTTTCCTGCCAGTGACTGGCATTCACACAAGAAGGGGTGAGTGGGACTGGGGAGCAGATGGTGACATTCCACATGACCAAACTGATCAATCAGCATGCTGGGACACAGGTGCAGCACAGGCGGGCAGCACCACACCATCTATTTTACCATCTATGGGGCACAAACACACAGGCACCAATGGTGGCACCCTGAGGGTCTGCATGCTCCTCTGTCCCGCTGTGCCAAGGTTGATGACATCAGAATTTCCCATACACTCTTCCACAGGACACCAAGAAAAAGCAGGAAAAAACACTGTATTAAATGCAATAACAGCCCAGCCTGGGATAGATTATTTAAGTGACGTCAAAGCCAGGGACTCCCATATTTCACCCTGGTACTACACTGATGAACCAAAGGAAAAGTGGACAACAGTACATGGACCTACACATTCTGGGCTTAACTGTGTCATTTGTGGGATTTGATACTAGTATATGATAGATAAAATGACTAAAACTACTTTTTTACTCTGGATACTTCACTCTCACAGTGTTACATGAGTCCACCCAAAACGTTTAGGTCCAGCTTTTACAGAAACATGACAATACCGTTGATGATTTTTTTTCATTATTGACTAATCTAATTGTTTTCTCAAATTATTGTTTTGTCAATAAAATGTCAGAAAATGTCCACTAAATATAGCCTAAAAACCTATTTTGTCTAGAAGAAAGCATAAAACCCATATTTATTCAGTTTTATCATATACGAGGAATAAAGCAGATCATCCTCACATTTAAACTTCTGGACTCAAACTGTTTGGCACTTTTGTTAAAAAAAAGGCAAAAAAATAATAAAATCCAGTTATTATAATGAGATTAAATCTGGCCTTGAAAAGCACAACTGGCCAGCACTATCATAACCTGTATAAAATGTTAAGTGTTTGGTAATGTTTAATCTCTAAAGCAGTTGAAAGAGTTGTAAAATAAATCAGACACCAAATATCTGTCAATAATTGCCTAAGGAGGACCTGTCAGTGAATGCATCACAAAAGCAAACAGAGCAGAGGTAAGTGGGTTGGCGCTGGTGTTTGATACCTGCTGCATGGCGTGACTCTCTACTGAGGATATGCTGTATCTTCAGGATAAGACCCTATAGTCTTAGAGCCTGAGTGCTGAAAGAAATGGGCGCCGTAAGAGGATTGGAGAAGCCGTGGCTGCACAGTGCACGTGAGAGCCAGACTCTCTGACCTCTACACCACAGTGACCTCGCTGTCCCATATTCACAAGCACCTATAAGGAGGAAGACGAGTGGCTTTAGGTCAGAGCCAGTCTATTGTGTGACCTGGTCAATTTCCAGGACAACATGTCATGAAATCAGAGCAAACAAAATGAGTGTTTAGAGTAATCAGTGTATATAAGTGCGCCTTCATGTACTGTATATTTTAAGCTACAACACAGCACAGCACAGTACAGTACAGAATATTATCTTAGATTGCTGTTTCTTAAAATATAATTTATCTGAAAAAACAAAACAAGCTGATCAGACTGGACGGTCCTTCTCAGGTTGTTTTTATATGTCTTTACATTTTCAATAAATTTACATATTGGAGAGAATGTGTTTACACAGTACGGCACAGCATGCTATGAAATACCTGCACTAAAAAGTCACATTTTGTGTAATAATGATGCAATCTAGGCCATTGAGTGTCTCAGAAATATGCAGACCACATGATATTATGTGATATAGCCACAACAATGGCAGCCACTCAGGAGGAGAGTCTTAACATCAGCCTTAACATTTGTTTTGTTAACAAGTCAGCAAATGACAAGGTTTGACATATGTGTGAGATCGGTTAAAGAAAAAAAGGAGAAATTGTCAGCTTCATCAAATTACACAAGCAAGAAAAGACATTTTAGCCATTCAATCATAATGACAATATTTGTCTGTCAAATATACTGGAGACTGTTCCCACAGCCTAAGTAATGACATAATCCAACACCACTGTTTTACAGATTTTGGAGTGGAGGTACTATAACTCACCTGCTCTACAAGGATGACATCAAGTTGTATGCCAAGAATAAACGGGACATGGACTCACTGATTCATTACCGCCGTGTCAGTGGAGCAGTGGACTAACATTACTTGTTTCCATCAACAGATGGCAGCATAAAATAAGCCAAGCTGCATGAATTTATTTAGGTATTGTTTTTCTTGACCTAGTGACTTCATTCTTCTGAATTTTCATATTTATGTTCTCACAAAGGGAATGTTTAGACCTGTACTAATCACATGTGTGTTTGTAACAGTAATTATAATCACATTAACTGGATATGTGGAGCCTGTGTCATTTGTAACAGGCTTACTGATGTGACATAGGTCAATGTTATATTAATATCCAGCACAGACAGTCTCGAGTCAGTTTATCCTCTCGGGGTTTTTTCCCCAAATGAGTGTCAGATTTCAGGAGACAGCAAAAATAGTAAGCTGTGTGATGAGCTGAGACAAATCTTGGTACGATCTGTCTGTGTTGATCTTTCAGCATTTCCTCACCGAGAGCCAAATCAGATCACATCTGATTCGATGTGAACATATTAGTAGGTATCGAGATCAATACACGCGCTGGAAAATGAAAAATTACACGGTGAAGTGATATCATCCTGGCTGTTTACCCGTCATTGTCACTATCTGATCAACCAGCTTCCTGCAGCAGCGCCCCCGCCGGCGGACAGCGGAACTACAGCGCACAGGCAGCGTCAAGTCAGACACAATGAAAAACTATAAATCCCGCTCACGGTGTTTTAATTAAACCTCTGTATAAGTGCCATGCACAATTATAGGAACTCGTAGAGTAAGGATACATGTATGGCACAATGAAGCCTTGAGTATTTGCTAGGCTAATAAAACAGAGTATGTTGAAGGAGGGTTGTACAACATGTTTCAGTTTGACAGCTTGCTTTGAATGCTCACAATGTATTATGCAGTCTGTAAGTGTAACATTTTTACACCCCATCTTTGCCTCACTGAGTTGTCTACAGATGTTCATATTGAAAAGGTAAGTATTTCCTTTCAAATAAGGCTACAGTTAATGATCATTTTCATTACCGATTAATCAATTAAAAAAAACACTATCTGAAACACAACGAGGATGACAAAGTTTGAAAAAAAAACAACTTGATTTGATTAATTCATTCTACTGAAACCGCATATTAACATCAGATCAAATTTGGATATATAACTGGTACTGTGGATTTTGTTCCCAATCACAAGCATCTCTGTGTGTGTGGCTGTATGTGTGCAAGTTGGCACCGCAGATGGCTGCCTCGATTCTTACTGGAGAAATATTCCTTGTGTGTAACATACTTGGCCTTGAATGTATGTTCTGTCTTTTCATGTAATCCCAGACTGACTCAGTGATGTTGGGATCAGGGCTCCGTGGGGCCCGGACCATCTGTTGCAGGACTCTTTGTTCTTGTTTCTTGAGATACATTTTTATGAATCTTGTTGTATGCTTGGGCTCATGCTGCAGAATGAATGGTAGCGCATGATGGATAAGCATCTAAACACCTAAAGTGTTAAATTCTTTACACAGCAGACTTTTACAGCATATGCTTTTAATTTGAAGGCAAACTCCAGCTCGTCTTCCGGTCTCGTATTTGCTACCTGTGTGTAACTTGACGCAGGCAGCTCGTCTGTAGCTGCTGCTGGCTGCTGCAGGAGTGCTATTTGCGGCAGCGGAGACCAATGCGAAATGCCTTTTGTATGCCCGGGTGTTTTTTTTTTTGGGTTTTGTTTTGCGTTTTGCGAGGGTCAGATCACAGTGTTTGTAGCCATGCTCTGTGGTGGATTCAGCGGGCTGTCCTAGCTGACTGAGCCGCTCCAGCAGCGGTGGCTCCGGTGCAGTGCACAGCCGGGGATGAGGCCTACTTGTTAAAGCTCCCCCCTCCACCTCCATCGTGATGGCTGATGATCAACAACAACCTGGTCAGAAGCCTGCCTCGGGATTAGGCTCTCTTCCAGCACTGGTGCCGGGACTCCAGGGGCCCGAGGCTAACGCGTTACAGTTCAAAATAAAGAATTCCGTTTGGTAAGAATGGACACGATCCTCGGGCAGCCACACGGCCCTTTTCGCTAGCCGTAGCCTCATAATTAGCGTACCTAGCTGTGGAGTGGCAGGGTGGCAGTGTGCTGCACAAAGCGGCTGAAAATGACACGGGTGCTCCCGTGCTAACCTCAGATATTTCATGCAAATGCGATAAGAGCGAGGAAGCCACAGTGTCCCACTGGGGT